GCTACACTTTTCTCATTATTATAATTTAAAATACAAATTTTCTAATATTATAATTTGCTCATGACCTGATACAGGCATTCCTATACAGTCATTAACAACAACAGCTGTAATTATTTGGCCTGCCAATAAGTGCTTCAATAGGATGGCTTGGTGATATGGAAGAAAAGAAGGAGGAAATGGTGGAAGAGGTGGTAGAAGCAAGGGGTGGCAGCAGACAGCAGCAGGCAGCCATGGAGGAGGAGAAGGAGAGGGCAAAGGAGAAGGTGACAAAAGAAGTGGCAAAAGGCTGCAGCAGAAGCAGAGAAGGATCAGGTGACAGATAAGATAACAGAAGATAACAGAAGAAAGAGGCGGAAGAAGATGATGAAAGAGAAGAATATGATAGAGGAGGAGGGGAGGGAAGGTGGCAGAGACAAAAGGTGGAGGAATACAGTGGCTAAAGGTGAAAGTCATAGAAGGGTGTGGTGGAGAAATGTGATGGTAAAGGCAGTGAAGACAGAAGGCAGTTTTGGCATATGGAGACAGTGGCTGACTAATTCAGCAATGGAAAGTGGCAGCAGTGGGAGGTGGAGGAAGCAGAAGACAGGAACAGGAGGCAGTGATGGAATGTGACAGCAGACTGCACTGACAGGAGGCAGTGACAGAAGAAAGCAGGGGAGGAAGGCAAGAAGGAAAGATGTGCACAAAGGCAGCAGCAGTGGAAGGAGGCATCAGCAGAAAGTGATGGAAGAAGATGGAAGAAGGTGAAGGTGGCAGAAGGAAGGCCTTTGCATTGGAAGGTGGTGGTGGCAGACAAAGACAACAGAAACAGGCAGAAGAATAGAAGGAGGAGGCAATGGAAGAGGCGACAAAAGAAGGCAGAGGAAGAAAGCCACAAAAGACAAAACGCAGAAGGAAATGGAGGTAAAAGAAGAAGAAGGTGTTGGAAGAAGAGAAAGAGGAAGCTAGGGAGAGGGCAATGGAAGAAGGCAGCAGAAGAAGACACTGGAAGAAGAGAAGGAGGAGATGATGGAAAAAAGCAGTGAAGGAGATGATGGAAGAGGCTGTGGAAGTAAAGAAGGAGGAAAAAACAGAGGAGGCAACGGGAGAAGATGGTGGATAAAGGCAGTGGAAGAGGAAGGAAGAGACAACGGAGGAGGTGAAGGAAAAAAGGAGGCAGAAGAAGTGAAGGAAGAAAGCAACGGTGCTGAAAAAAGGCAATGAAAGAAGAGAGGGCAGAAGTGAAAGAGGATGGGAAGGAAGAAGGCAGCAGAAGTGTATGACAGAGGAAGAAAAGGAGGACGTGACTGAGTAGGTGAAAGAAGAAGGCAACAGAAGAAGGTGCTGGCATTAGAGAAGGAGGAGGTGATGGAGAATGTGACAAAGTGATGGAAGAAGATACTGGAAGAAGGAAGTGGAAGAAAAAGAGGAGCCAACAAAGGAGGTGACAGAAGAAAGTGACAGAAGAAGAGAAGGAGTGGTAGAAGAAGGGAAGAAGGAGGGTGCAGAAGAAGGTGGTGGCAGAAGGTGGTGAAAGAAGAAAAGGTCACTATGGAGAAAGCGACGTAAGAAGGATAAGGCAATGGAAGAAGGCAGCAGAAGAGTGGTGGAAGAAGGCTGTGGAAAAAAGAATGAATAAGCGACAAAGAGTGGTGGAGGAAGGCAGGTGAAGAAGAGAAAGAGGAGGCAACAGCGGAGGTGACAGAGAAGGTGGTGGTAGAAAGTGGCAGAAAAAGAGAAAGGGGAGGTGATGGAATAAGGCAGCAGAAGATTGAATTGAAAGAAGAGAAAGTGAGGGGATGGAGAAGGCAATGACAGAGGTGATAAAGATACGGTGGAAGAAACTGGTGTAAGAAGAGAAGGAGGAGGAGATGGAAGAAGGTGGTGAGAGAAAAAAAACCAGAGGTGACAGAGGTGATGGAAGAAGGTGGTAGAAGAAGCTGGCTGAAAAATGTGACAGCAGAAATGAAGGAGGTGATGGAGGAGGCATTAGAAGAGGAAAAGGAGGAAAATACATAGAAAGTAACAGAAGAATTGGCAGATGAAGGTGGTGGAAGAAGAGTGGGAGGAGGCAATGGAGAAGCTGACAGAAGAAAGATGCAGAAGAGGGCAGAGGAAGAAGGCAGTGAAAAAGGAGATGACAGCAGGATAAGACACCAAAAGAATGCAAAGGAAGATGGTGGAGGAAGAAGAGTAGAGGAGGGGATAGAGAGTGTGGTGGAATAAGACAGCAGAAGGAAGTGTCAGAAGATGGCAGAGAAGAAAAAGAAGAGAAAGAGAAGGTAACAGAAAAAGGTTGTGGAAAAACACAGCAGAAATACAGAAAGAGGAAGCAATGGAGGAGTTGATGGAGGAGGCAATGGAAAACAATGCTCTGAGGACCTTTATGCTGTCCAGGAAATACAGGTGTTTTACACCCTAAGAAAACCTCCTCCAGAACTTGGAACCACCAGGGCAAGTGTTGCATCATTAATTGCCATCCCTACTTCCATCTCTGACTGAATAAGAACAGCCTTGCAACCCAAGCAACACTGAGAAATAAACATACCTTCTAACACACACACCTTTATCAGGTCAGACCCTCTCATCCTGCTCAAAATGGGCTGAGATGCTCCAAGGAGGCCTTCTATGCTCCAGAAAATGAAGGGATGGATTTGGGTAACTCTCCAAACTTACGCAGGACTTAAGCAACTCTGCCTTCTGCCTGTCCTTCTCTGGGTCATGAGTGACACTGTGGCAGATGAGTGACAGTCCAGAGAGATCTATAATAATCTTTCGTCTCTTACTGGGCTACAGTAGCAGGGAACTGCCCAACAGCAGGTCATTCCTGAGGACGAGGGAGATCGGATCACATGTCATAGTCCTCCATGAATTTTTCTTCCATAAATGTGTTCCTGCTCTTTTCGAGGTCATGAAAATCTTTTGCAATCTTTCCCACAAAAACCTGTGAGAAGGATTTCACAGCTTCCCTAAAAGAAGAGGAAGTGTTTTGAACCAGCCCCAAGCCCTAGGCTTTGCATGTTTCTCCCTGATTCTTGGAGAGGAGCAGACAATAAATAAAACATCCTAGCCCTGGCTCCTCAGGCCGCTGTCATGTCCCATGTCTTCTTTATCAGACACTAAGAATCCATGTTTCTTGCATGGATAGAATTAGAAGAAAAGCATTAATGGACATAGGTGAAAGAGGAACACACGTAGAAAGAACAAGGAAAGAGGTTTTGAGAGTATATTTACTCAGGTATGGAGAACTTTGGAGAATTTAGCAGCTGCTCCCACACAGGAGACACTTGAGAGAGAAATAAGGGTGCTTCCATCACCAAACTCTGTGAGATGTAAAAGGACTAACCTCAGAAATTCCTCTGATTTATGTTCACAGAAAGTTTTATCTCTGTCAACCCCTGGTCTCACCAGGTTTCTCTTTCCCAGGATCTTTCATCAGCCTGGACAAATGGATTTCCTTTATCTGAGTCCAATGTTGATACAGCTGACTGAAATTTTTGAAGTAGGAACATGGTGTTCTAGAAATGCAACCTGTCATTGCTTGTCCATTGATAATACCTAGTACAGTTGCCCTCAGTTCCCCAATCCTCCTCCTTCCTGTGCCCCTGAAGTCACCAGCTTTCTACTGAAGCATCACTGCATGAACCAAGAGATTCGTTTGCAGGAGCAGATGTACAACTTCTAGCGTATTCTTTGGAACACCCTATAAAAACCTTACGATATGCAATGTTCAGCAGTATGTCTGATGACAGCCTATTTTAATGCCAATGGCATGTTTTGGACAAAGAAATTATGAATTCACAGGGAGATCAAATTATACACCCTTGTAGACTAGAAATTCTTCCTGTTCTGCTTAGTTATGATGGCATTGGATAGCTTTGGTAAATTTTGCCATGCTTAGTCCTATTATGGACTTTTTTCTTTTTCACTGGAAGTTTTTAATCCTTACTTCTTTCGCATGATAGAACATGCTTCTAAGAAATCTGGTCATTGATACCAGTTGAAAGGCCAACAAAATCCACTGAGCCCCTTGGAGAAGTTGCTGACCTTGGACAGAAGCTATAGCATGAAGGAAAATTACCATCTGGAGAGTGTCACTTTGTGTGAGAGTGTTCTTATTCAGTCAATCCTCCAAGGTTCTTGAAACATTAATCAAGAAATAGAGTACAAAGAGTATTCCTATTCAGTCTCCCATGCTCTTCAAGCATCTCAAAAAATATGGCTTCTGTTTAATGTCACTTGAGAGTATCCCACGTCTTTCAGGAGCTAACATGATGAAGTTGGCAGCTGCCTGGAAAATGAAAAGGATTATTCATCAAGTGCCTTAAGCTTTAGTAAACTTTATGTCACGACAGAAATCCTCAACCTTCCCTAGAAGGATTTCAGAAGATCTCACTACTTGTGTTCACAGTCTTATTTTTCATACACATTACATTCATAAACTTCAGCAATATCCTGAAATTCTTCTGCGGCAAAAATGAGTCTCTGTGAAATATTCCAAAGATGAATAGAAAGCATGCTTTGGTACTTTGGCAGATATTTTATTAGAGAATAGGACTGAGAAATTAGGAAAGGGAGATGATGAGCATTCCCATATTTCGAGTATATAACTTGGGAAGTGGTGGACAATATAAAATAGTTGTTGTCATACTCCCTTTGGAAATTACTTGTGAGGAGTTTTATTTAGGCAATCCCTGTTTTCTGTGTGACAAAAAGACAGAGACACTATTGAAGGGAAGGAATAAACTTAACAAAGTTAACCAGTGGTTTGTTGGCTTTCCTCCATCTCCCCAAATAAAAGCATTGTATCTTTCTGTCCACTGCCAAAATATTCAACCTCTGGGAAAAATATGCATTTCTAAGAAAGACATCATCAGCACAGAGTAATCTCAAAGGGGTTTGAGACTTCTTCTCAATAGGTGATGAGATTAAGGATGAGGCAGACAAAAAACTAGGCCTCTTCCAAAGCCAAAATGTATTTTTAAATTGAAGGCAGCCCTCTGGAAAAAATTAAAATAGCTCTCTGTCTGAAGAGAGGTTTATGATTAACAGATATATTATTTGTACTTTCTTCTAGGTCCTGTTAATTCCCACGTTGGGATCTTCAAATTTTCCACTGTGTACTTTTTGTCTGGAGAAAACCTTGGACTAGAGATAAGGCCATATCCAAAAATGTATTTCTAGCAGCTCCTGCTTCCAGACAACCTGTCTGGGCTTGAGGCTGAATCAAGACCATGAAGGGCCTGCTGTTTCTCGCCTTTGTTGGGGTGGCTG